AACAAATGCACGCTGTTTTCCTCATCATTTGCTAAACAATATTTATAACACATATTGACATAGCATTTACATTATCTTATGTACTGTAAATTATCTAGAGATGATTTAAAGTATATAGGAGTATATGTGCAAGTTACATGAAGCTAAAATGCTATTTTGTATAAAAGACTTGAACATGTGCAGATGTCAGTGTTTGTAGGAGGTCTAGAAACTAATACTCCTTGCATAAGTAAGGGCAGTACGTTTCTACATGTGTAAGCATATAAACACATGGAAACTCTAGCCATATAGATGAAGAGTTTTGGGGAAACCAGGGAGAGACATAGTATGTATTTCAACTTCTATATGCCTTGGTTTGCCTATGACTTTACCTAGCGAGCCTACTGCTAAGACCATGATCATGTTATAAATGTCAGTAAATACTAATTAATATTGTTCTTACAGTTTAGACAGGCCTCATTTTAAGGCTCTGTGCTCCAAACATGGTGTCTTAGTTACTTTTCTCTCATTGCTGAGACAAAATACCCGATGTCAGAATTGAGGCAGAAAAGGGTGTTTTTTAGCTCACAGTTTGTGGAGGTTTCAGTCCATACTCGGCTGGCTCCAAGGCAGAGTGGCATATGGCAGAGGGCAACAGTTCGTGGCAGCAGAAAAAAGCTGTTTTAAAGAGCTTAACTGCCATTCTGTTTCCCTTCGTAGTATTTGAAAATTTTGTCCATGATACAGGACAGCTCCTTAAACACTGAGATTCTCACCCTTAATTTTAAATTCTGAACATAGTGTTTACTTTTTCAATTCTCCAACACTCTAGCCCTTTTGAAAATGTTTTTTCTCCACAGCATTCAGTAGACCCTTGACACTTTCTTTATAACAACACAATTTTCTCTCTGCTTCAGTGAAATAGCTTGTCTCCTACTATCCCCTTCCTGGCTCTCCTGCTCCTCCTACCATGCACGTTCCTGGCCTTCCTGCAAGTTACCTTTCGTTTCTTCTTGTGGAGTCTTTCACCATCAACCTTTATGGCTTGAGTCACTGTCTCGGTGTACTAATATATTTTTTCAAATTAAGCGCTTTGGCCTAGATTGTTTTATAACTTAGACTAACTTTACTTTTGGGACTTTGAGGTGGATGACTAGTCTATGAAGTTCTTACATTTCATTTATAGAGGAGGTCTTAGCTGGTCTGGTAATTAACACCTCTCCTTCTTATAGGTTTTCACTGTTGCCACAGTAATCTGGATAAAATCATTTGTGACACTAGACCTTCCTTGTAACATGAAGTCCAGACTTTTTATTCTGCCAATAAACTTCTATGTTTCACAGTAATAAAACTATTCTTTTAAGCATATGTTGTGGTTTGTATCTGGATGACCCTGCAAGGCCTCACGTCATTGGGGGTGGGCTTTTTGGAGGCGGCTGAATCTAGACTTTGTGATTGGTTCATTGTCTAGTGTTGGGGTCTGGGGAGTGAGTGCTACACCCATGTTATGGCAGGTAACTTGCATAAAATATAAAGGAGGAAAAGAGGCTTGCTCCACCCTTTTGCTTTTGTTGCCTTTGCTCTCTTTCACTGCCATGAACTGTTGCCCCTCTGTCACACGACCCTGCCTTGGAGCCAGCTGATTATGGACTGAAACCTCCATAAACTGTGAGCTAAATAAACCTTTCCTTCCTTAACTTTGGGAGTTGGGTATTTTTCTCAACAATGAGAGAGAAGTAATGAAGACTGCATATGTCCTGCTCTTTCTTCCTTATGTGGAAAATATCAATTAAATCCAAATCAGAGGAGCCACTCATACTCTTCGTCTGTGTTACGCAGCTGCTCTTGCTTTCTAATGTACTGGGTTGCCTGCTTCTTAATATTTTTATGAACTCTCAGTTGCAAAAGGCATTTGATCCACTAAGCTTTCTCTGAAAACTATGGTAAACTCTGTGACAGTGTGTAGTATTAGCAGAGTGTATCACTTGTGACTTCGTTCTGTACTCAAACTTACTTGTTTTATTTTCTTTGCTTCACTATAGGAGTCTTGAGGTAGCATATCCAATTTGCCTGTTTCCCCCTAATAGAAGAGCTTATTGTAATATGTATGTACGTAACAAATTTTATTGAACTATTTGAAATAGTAGCTGATACCTGCGTAGCCCACTTCTTCTTGTACTCTTCTATCCTTGCAAATCTAGGCTTTCATACGCTATAATTTGTTAATGATGTGAAGAGTTCCCTTGATTAATTTTTATAGTAGCATTGTGATAGAGATGAGGTCTGTCAGGTTTTATTCTGTCTGAAGATTTTTATTTCATCTTGATTTCTGAAGGACTTTCTTGAGTGTAAAATTGTAGGCTAATATTTTTTCAACATTTAAAAAATCTTGCACCGTTGTGTTTTGGCCTCTGTTTTTAAATGAGTTATCAGTTATCATTTTGCTCATTTTCCTTCTTTATGCTGTGTGCTTTTTTGGGCTACTCTTGAGGTTTTTTTCAACACTTTGATAATGATATAGCTAGGTACGGTTCTACTTATGTTTATTATTCTTACGACTTGATGAAGTACTTTATCTGCACTTTTATGTCTTTCATCAGTTCTTGACTAAAATCTCTTCAAACTTGTGCTTTTCTAAAAAGGTAACTGATGATCCTTGTGACAGTTACTTTGAATTTTTGCCTGCTAAGTTATATGCTCCTATTTCTTTAGAACCAGCTTAGGAGATTTAATTTATTCATTTGATTAGGCTGTGTTTCTGTGTTTCTTTGTATACCTTGTTCTCTTTTTGTAGGACTATAGCATTTGCAAAAAATCAGTCACTGAATTTTTGCGGTCTGGTTTTATACAGAAAGGACTTTGTCAGGTGCTGAATGTTGCATCTTGCTTTGTAGACCATGAGCTATGGCCTGTCTCCTTCCCAGACACTACTGTAAGATAATTTTTAAAAATGCTTTGTTGACATTAGCATAATCACACCTAAAAAAGCATCTGCTGAAAAGGTTAGTTTTGCCTTTCTCCTGTGTGTGTGTGTGTGTGTGTGTGTATGTGTGTGTGTGTTTATTCCAAACTCCTGTTTCTTAAAACCTTTTCTGTACTTAATGCATTTTTGTACTTTCCACTTTAGGTGGTTAAGGCCTTATGTCTGTAGGTTTTTTAATTTAATGAGATTTAAGAGCTCTAGCAGCCAAAAGCCTAATAAATACTGCAGAAAATCCTGAAAAGTTTTTTGGAAGAGTAACTACTTAAGTGGCTAGCATCACGAAACCTTTTGTATGGCATAATCACAGTTTTTGAAGTGCCAGGAGGCAGAACACTTGTTAAATCCATCCATGCTAAGGAAAGATGCTAAAGAAAGAGCTTAAGTTTCACGGAAGTTAGTAAAGCTTAGTCTAAAAGAAGAATGACATTCAGGTACTACGTGCATAGTGCGTAGAATTGTGTCAGGGTCTTTTCCAAACTGCAACAGCTCTTTGAAGCTAATATGACTTAGTTTTTCTGACACAGGTTGGAGGAGTTGGCTCAAGTCAAGATCATAGTTTTCATTTTGTGGAAGTCTGAAAATCATTGCCTAGGTTTTAGGCGAGTGAATACACAATCTTACAAGACATGGAGAGCTCAGAGTGCAACTCCTAGTTCCAAAAGTAGAGTGTAGAGTCCATTTGTGAATGATTAGTCATTTAGCAAAGCTGACGGTGGCTCCCTTAAAATAATTGCAGATACAATTCTTATTTCCATAGAAGCTGCTTATGGGTCTTGTTTATGTTCATCATGGACAGAAATATTCTGAAATTGCCTCTTTCCTCCCTTCTCTTGGTCCCTGAGTGGTGATAAAGGGAACATAGTCTTCTCAGAGAGCAGCAACTCTCTGGCTCATGGTCTGCCTGATTACTAGTACCGCTCATTTCTGCCAAGGAAGGATAAACTAGTTTTCTCAAAAGATAAATAAGCCATTTTAACATATGATGCACAATATCAGTTGCTGCAACTTCTGGTTATATAAATGTTATACCCTTATAGTTGAAATGGTAATTCTTTAACTAAGGGGTTCACAACCACTGTCGACATCTACGTGAACATACTGGGCTATGGACCTGCAGCAGGATGCAAGCAGTGGGCACGCTGGGAAGCCTTCCTCTGTATTTACAGCTGGTCCCCATCATTCCCATCACCTGCCTGAGTTCTGCCTCCTGTAAGATCCTGGTGCCATTACAGAGATTCTCGTAGGAGCAGGAGCACTATGCATGCCATGGACCTAGGTGATCTTACGAGAATAATAATAGAAGTAAACCTCACAAAAGTGTCATAATAATACAGATAAAGGGCACTGTATATGTAATTCATTTGAATAATCCTAAAACCACCCTCCTCCCTTCCTGTGGAAAAATTGTCTTCCATGAAACTGATCCCTGGTGTCAAAAAGGATAGGTATATAGACCTGCTGGACTGTATTCTGATTCACAGGACTTTAACTCTGTGATATTTGTGTCTTTAAGTCAGAGTAATAATAAGGAGAATGTTTCTTATTTTTCTTTGGATCATGAGCTCGTTAGAATTTTGCTTTGAGTTGCTTTGCTTTGGAACAGGAGCTAGACAGCCATGTCATGGATAAATAATCCGAGTATATCAATGATGCTGCTCATTGCACATGTTTAGCTTTATAGCAGAACTTTGACATTAAATTTCTTATGCAGCGTTTAAATTTTCTCTCACATTTTTGCCATAAAATAAACTTAACTGTTATAGAATATCTTTGTAATCATCTGCCATTGGCAATTTGCAGTGGATAAATCTTCTGTTTTCCTAGAAGTTAATAAATACAAGTAAGAATTTTTCTTCCTTTGAGGATTTTGAAAGTAAGTCGAGCCCAGTTTACATCCTATGTAGAAGTCCCAGGAAAAATCCGCCCATATATTCCAGGCAAGATTTCAGATGCAGTGCATGAGTCAGTAGGGCACTGAACTGTGTTCTCTCTTCCCCTCTGGCACAGAGTATTAACACTCCTGCATGTGTCTCCACAGTAAAACCAACCGTCATTGATGTCGACATCTACGTGAACAGCATTGGGCCTGTGTCCTCGATCAACATGGTAAGAAGCTGTTTTACCTCCTACTGCGATGGCTGTCGCCGCCGTTCTTGCTGCTGTTGTCCGTGTGGATTTCTGCCCGAGAGTCGGCCTGCGGGTTTAAAGCGCGCAGTTCGCTTCTTACACCTATAGCATTTGTTGGTAGTTGAAGTGGTGAAGTGGTCTTAAAAGTGAAGAGGTAACGTTTGTGACAGCACAGTGAGAAATTCCTTTGATGATTAAGAACTGTCCTGACCCCATCTTCTCCTCACAGGTGTTTATAGCATACAGGTTTTTCAGGTGGGATCATGTGCAGTTGTGCAGTCATTGACTTTCCTTGACCTTGTTACTAGGGATGCGAGTCAATGACAGCTTGTTACTTTATAGTTCCTTTTTTTTTCAAAATCCAAGAAATCTGCTTTTTAGTGTTTCTTAGGAAAGGATTCCAGATGGTCCAGCTTCTACTTTTGTCTTCTGTTTGAACTCTGAGGGTAAACCCACTGTGACTTTATTTCAGGAGAAATATAGGATCAAATTTTTGCTTTCCCTGAGTAGAGTGTTTCTACAGGCTTAAAAGCTATTTAAGTTTAAGAGCTATTTTAGTGAGGAAGACTTTGTTCCCATGGGCAGGTGCTTTGCTCCCAGGCGAGGGTTGGTGTGTTTGTATGTCATAGAACGGGAGCCTCCAGTCCCAGGCTGCAGGCCATGGCGTGTCTCCCTGTGAGGAGCGATTCCCAGGATTCCCCAGCAAGGGGTGTCACGAGGGCCGCTCCCACTCCAGGGGCCTTCCCTGCTCTCACTGCTGTATTTCACATGTGAATTTCGGGGATGTGTGAGAACAAGTATGGAACTGCCAAAAGTGCTAACTTGTGTGTCCTCTTTTCAGTGTTCTGTGGATGGAAATATCCCCTCCAAAATTAGTAGCAAAATCAATTCTTTTCACTGCCAGACTTAAAAAAAAAAATTCTTTCTTTTCTTTCAATGGTATGAGAATTTCATGTAGGGGTAAAAGATATTTATAGATGACTCTCTTAAAAACAACCATCTCGAGGGTGAGGATATCTCACCACAGCCGTAGAACATGTACTTGGCATGTGCAACTCCGTGGGTTGAGTGGCCCCAAAACCACCAACAACAGAAAACCCACAATCTTCATGCTGTTCATACTCTAGTATTCAAAGGTGAAATGAATAGAAGAGAATAATGTGCATTTGTATATCCAGGGCTTTTGTTGGACTCCTGAAACTTGTAGACCCTGTTTGTGATCAGTACTAAGGCTAGTTACTGGATCGTTGGGAAATTCTAGGTGGGAGTCACAGGGGCAGTGGAGGGTGCTCAGGAAGAGGCAGCCAGCCACTGGGGATAAGGACTAGGCCAGGTACCTTCTTGGGGAGGCTCTGGGTGGAGAACAGACTCTTCCAGTGAGGCCGTCTCAGTCCGGGCTGACTCAGAGCAGAGTGCTCTGGGTGGGAAGTGTGCAAGGCTCCCTCGGTGAGAAGCAAGGGGCAGTATGTGTGATTAGATTGGTAGATAAGGAGAGTTGGGCTATGGAGTCATTGGACGGGGTAGGTGGTACACTGCAAAGTATCGTGGGCTTACATGGCCCCGGCCTTGAAGCCGTGGTGGAGATTTGAGCTTTGTCCTTAGCTTTGTTTGGCACAGATCCTGGCCTCTGAGGAGTATGAACACCACCGCTGTTGACATAGACGCAGATATGTGATGAGATTAGTACAAATCCCAGGAGATCTCAGGTCAACCCTTCTTTCCCCATGTAAATTTAAAAAAAATCACCATCAGCAAGTACATGTTGACTGTGACGGTTAACTGTAACCTGACTGGCCTGGCAGCCGTAGAGGGGGCTCGTAAAGCGCACTCCCGGGTGGGTCGTGAAGGCGTGGCTTTGGGCTCTGTGTGTGCTCCCGGCCCCTCCCTCTGTGGAGCTGTTACCCTGCTCTGCTCGCTGGTCACCGGGAACTGAGCAGCTTTGCCTGGGCGTGTTCTTCTGCCGTGAGGTTTCTACCCTGGAGCCAGTTGATGGGCCTGGAGCCTCTGAAACTGAGAGTGAATAAACCATCTCCTTTAAGTTGCTGGTGTTTGGTGTTCGGTCCCAGCCATGCGGAAGCTGCCCCATCCAGTTACGCACAGTTGAGATTAGGCATTTAAAAATCACAAACACTGGGCTTTGCCACTAATGACATGGAATGAGTTTAATCCAATGTCCTGCGGTGCATTGCAAGCCCTTCAGCACCAGAAAATAATCTTGGGGCTTCAGTAGCATATGCATCTGAAGGCAGATACAGGAAGTCATCAGTGCAGGTTTTTTAACAGAGATTGGAACATGAAGGTTTCACTTAAACCCTTTACTTTAAAAAAATTCCTTAAATGTACTGAAACTCCGCTTAGTTCCGGTGTTTTACTTCCTAGACTGTGTCTCTATGATGCTGAGAAGGTGGACCACTCAGCATGCTTGCCTATTACAAAACTAAAGTAACTCTTTGGGGAACAGCAGATAAGCTGAACCATAGCAACTTCTTCACTCTGAAGAGTGACATATAGTGAATTCTCATCAGAACTGAATGTCTAGGTCATTCCTGTATCTAATTTCATGAGGAAAAGAAAATATACTACTCCTCTACTTCAGCTTAGTGAAACATAGGGAGTATGCAGGGGTTTATTTTGAAAAGTAAACACATTTAATATGTAATTCCTATGCTCCTTATGGGTGACTCTGTCTCTCTCTGCTCATCACGAAACATGCGTCACTGCGTGTCAGACACTGTGCTGTTGGAAGCTGAGACAAGATGAATTGCGCTGTCCCCGTCTGGTGAAGCAGGTCCGTGAGTGCGTCAGATGCCTCTGCAGTGCTCAGGGCTGCACAGGGCTTTCTAGCCCCCACAGGGAGGGTCGAGGGGGACCTTTTAGGGGTCCACAAAGGCTGCGGAGGCTCAGGCCTCCGTCCTGCTGTTAAAGGCCGAGAGTGTCTTACCTTTGCACTCCGCACACTCCGCCAGGAAGTCAGAACGAGAGACGGCTTCTCAGTGCTGGGCGCTTCACATAGAGCTGCTGTATTTGTGAGGCCAATGACACAGTTTTAAGGAATGGAAATTGTTGAAAGTGAAACTTGGGCCTTAAAGCAACAGAAAACAATTTGAAGTAGAGAACTGACTGTAAATGGGGATTGGGATTGAATCAGTATGAAAAACAAAGAAAAGAGAATGGAAGAGCATGAATAAATGCGTAAAGAATATATTACAGGCACAAGCACCTTTTAGAGATGAGGTTTCATGAAGTGATTTTTATTGGGTTTTGACCATAAAGCTAATGTCTCATGAGATTATGTTTCCCCCAAATAGCCGATTAACAATCAATAAATTAGGGAAGCCAGTGACCCTCTCCTCTTGTTCCTTCTCCATTGTGGCTTTTTATTGGCAACATTAATTCTGAAGATTCAGCTTTAGACCTTCTTGCTAAATGAAAATGGAGTTGCATTTCAACCCATTGCAACATAGATCAATTTTGTTTTGTTTTCTTCCGTGCCTTACGGTAGTTCTAGTTACTGAGGAGGTTAGGCATGGGCTGGGCCTGAGAGAATATTCATTTACAGAGAGCTTTCCTACCAGCCTCTGCTCGTGTCTTCATGACGTACCTAAGTGTGCAGAGTTCCCCATAGACTTCCTCCATGGATTGCTTCAGGGTGGCAAAACTGCATGCAGGGAGCTCATAACTTTGTTCCTGAAATCATTCACTTTAAATAGTCTTTGGGGAAGGAAAGAAGAAAAATAATGCTCTAATACTAATTCGGTGCTGTCAACCTCATCTAATCTTTATGAGATCCTAATGGAGACTATATTAGGTGTTGCTCTTATCTATGCCAAGTTAGCTGAATCTTACTGAGACCCCAGAGTGAAGATTCTTATATGACCCCTTCTCGTGGTGGCGCACTGGGCCTCCCAGTTTATCTGGCGTATGGCAGCTGTGTGCACCAGTTACTGCTCTAGCTAAGCACTTGAAATGGGAAGGCTCAGCGTGAGTCTAGTGTTAGGATTCCTTTTCATTAACAATTCAATGAATTAATAGATTTCATTTGATGAGTTTTAAAATGGGGGCAGAAAGTACAGAGAATTTTTATCCACCTTTCCTTCTCTGTACACGTGGCATGTGCGCGCGCACACACGTTCCCCTTTTATTAGCATCTTTGCATTAATGTGGTATATTTGTTATGATCAATAAACTTGTCTTTACACAGCATTACCGTGAAAATTCATAGTTTACATTGGAATTCTTTCTTGGTGTTATGGATTCTGTGTATTTGACAAATATAAAAGGTCATGAGATACTGTGAATGGGAAAGAAACGACTCAAAAAGAAGGAACAGCTGGGATGGGGGAAAGGAGAAAAGAAAGAAAGAAGGGAAATATATATACACACACACACACACACACACACAAGATAGCTGAGTTAATTGTACTACCAATTTCTACTGATTGATAGAAAGGAACAGTTAATATCTAATTGATCAATTTTGCATGCCTATATCTAGTAATCAGAACAGCTACTTGGAAGATAACAGTGTGCAATAAATATCCTGTCTTGGTTACTTTTCTCTCATTGCTGGGACTAAATACCTGACACCCAAAATTAAAGAAGGAAAGGTTTATTTCACTCACAGTTTGTGAAGGTTTCAGTCCATATTTGCCTGACTCCAAGGCAGAGGGCAACAGTTCATGGCAGCGGAAAACAGCAGAAGCAGCAAGAGCAAAAAGGGAGGATCACAAAGAGCAAGTCTCTTTCCCTCCCTTATACTGTATGCAGGTTGCCCACCGCAGGGCGGGTGTAGCACTTGCACCCACAGTCCCAGCGTTGGACCATGAATCAATCCAAAATCTAGAAACCTGCCCCATGATGACATGAGGCTTTGGGGGGACATCTAGACACAAACCGTAACACACCCATTGTTAATTTCCTATCATCTTATTTTGAAATTCTGTATCATTTTTATTGTTTTTTAAAATTCTCTTTAAAAT